CTGCCCCCCCGGAGGGGGGGGGGGCCGGGGGGCGCCCGCCGGCCCGGGCAGCAGGAGGAGCGTCCTCCGTGCGGAGAAGGCGGCTGCGTGTCAGCTTGCATGCACCGGCCTCGCAGAGGTTTCTGCGGAAGCGCTGCAGCCAGGATGGCAGCTCTGGATTGGTGCGGCATTCTGCCATTCCTGCGTCTTCTCCGATGTTGAGTATTGGCGATGCTCAACTTCCCGGCCTTGCTGCTTTCGCTGGTCTCCTGGCTTCCAGCTGCCTCCTTTACAAACCTAGCCTCTGCTGGGGTGGGCACATCCAAGAGGGTGAACTTTCAGTTCAGAGCCTGCTCCCTGCCTTGCTCAAAACACCTTGTTGCATAGCTCGAAGTCCTGCTGGGTTTGTATTTGTGCTAGTTATGCGGCTACTGGTTGAGCTGGAGATCTCAGCTGGCATAAGATAAGGATGCTTCTGTGGGGAATGCAGAGCCTGCGGCCCCGGCCGTTAGACCTGAGCATGTGGTGGTGTTTGTCACAACTGCCAATCCAAACGTGGTAGCTTCTGTGTAAAGATCTCCTATTCTTGCTGGCTAAGTTGCACACCTCCTCTCACCTCTTGCGCAAAAGGGTGCTTCTGAGCTTTGAGAAATAACTGTGAAGAAGCGCTTGTCAGACTGGTTCCTTTTGTCTCTGCAGGCTTGGTTGGGCTTGCTACCGAGAACACATCCGTCAGTTGTCCTCTATATGAGGCGAGCTTAACCAATTTCTTCTGGGCTGAGGTCCAGCACTCCTGCCTGTAAAACATGTTTGAGCATGTGGGTTGCACAGCTCTGAACTGGGGCTTCACCACACCCCCTCTTCCCCTGCTCTTCTGGGTCCCAGAGACTTAATCTGGGCCCTTCTGCTGTCCCTGTGCCGCTCCCAGGCAGGAACAGGGACACGTTTCCCAGGCTCGGACAGGTTGGTAGTATTTGGCTGCTTCTTCTGAGCTGTCAGTGCTACAAGCCTTCATCTTCTTGGAAACAAATGAATTATTATGCTACCTGCAGAGCCTTGCTCTGTGAGTACTCAGTCAAATTCCCCAGCAGGGACCTGTTGCCACTGGGTCTGCGTGAACCATCTTCATTCTTTCTCTCGGCCAAGTCTCATCTTCTAGAGTGGTTGTGCTTAATATAAGGATCAGGCTGTGAAAGGACCAGACACCATGCCTTGCTGGGCTGATAGGTTTATTTGCAGATAGTGTGGCAGATGAGATTTGCACATAGTTTAGAGGGGCTGGTGGTTTCCTTGCTTCGAAAATGCTCTTGCTCTGCTTTGCTTGGTGGCACAATAGCAGGCATCACCCCTGTAGAGAGTGAATGCTGGCTGGCCTGCAGTGTTTTGGGGCACTCTTCTTCTTGGCACTCCACTGATGCACACGAGCAGCCCAGATGCCTGACTTCTGCCTTTGGTTTGGCTTTCTGAGTAGAGACCTCATTTGGGTGGAGGCACAAGGGAGGCTGCACTCGGTGTTGAGACTGGTCACAACTTTCTGGCTTGCTCACTGCCGGCACAGCTGTGGAGCACAGAAGAAGTTTGGATGGGTGCCCTGAGCTCTGTGGAACAAGGGTTTTTCATGACCAATTTAATCTGGCTGAAGAACAAGCTGAGAGCAGGAAGATAGGTGCTGGCTACAACTTCTCAGCCACTCTTCATGCTGCACCTGTGGTTATAACCATGCCATGAGCTGAACAGTGAGCAGATCCAGATGCAATTTCCCAACTTCTCCTGCCCCCCCTTCTTTGTTGGGTTTTTCCAGAAGACTGGGCATCTGTGCTGGAACTAAAGATTCTGGCCCATCCCACAAAGCTGTCCTCTCTGCACCAGCTGGGTTCATGTCTCTTCTTCTCCTGTCACTCCTTGGTATGGGAGAAGGATCTGAGAGGAGTTTTGTTCCCACCTTCACAGCTCTTCTGGGTGCTAGAGCTCTTCTGCCACACTTTCTCTTCTTCTGGGCAGGAGGCTTTTTGCTTGTTATTCTCGGTGCATGCAGTGCACCAGGGAAAAGGCACTGCACCCGAGAATCACATCAACCTTACTGGAGGCCTTTGGGTGCCTGGAATCAGGAACATCCTTGTGAGTAGGCAGGACAGCAGCAGGAAAGTCCTGTGCCCTCTGCTGAGGATGTGCTGCATTCCTTGTGCATGCCAGGAGCCTCCAAGCCTCCCTGTGCCCTGTCCCCTGTCTGTCCTTTTCCTTCTGCTGACTTTTGCCCACTGATGTCGAATGTCCTTGTCTGAGGTGCGTGTGATGCCAGTTCCCCTTGCCTTCTCTGGCCTCCCCTGCCAATTACTGACTAGCAGGGGGTCCTGTCTCCTCTGTTCCTGCCTGTCAGTGTTGGTTTTGCCACCCAAGTGCTGCAGTGTTGTCAGTGTGCTTAACCCTGACTTGGCTTGTCTGTGGCCTGTTTCAGTGCGAGGAAGCAGCCTACGAGGAGCGGTGGTACCCAGCTGGGAAGTGGGCGTGTGTCACCAAGGGGGAGCCCATGTATGAGCAGAGCATCTCCATGAGCTTCATGAAGCTCATGCGCTACATCTGCAAGGAAAACTCTGTAGGTGTGTGCTGGAGGGGGCTGGTAGGCTGCACAGAGGGAGGGCCCTGCTGCTGTTCGTCTGGAGTGGGGAGGAGGGCTGCTGCCACTGACCCAGCCATCTCACTGTGCCCACTGCCTCCCTACCTCCTTCCAGGTTGCTATCTGGGCATGACAATCCCAGTACTCAACGAAATCCACCTGACCAAGGAAGGGACCGAGCTGGAGCGTGAGGTCGTAACTGCATATTATCTCCCGGGAGAGTTCCAGCAAAACCCCCCTGTTCCCATGGACCCCGAAATCCACATCACTGAGAGGGCACCACTCTGGGTTATAACCAGGTGACCCCCAGCACCAGAGGTGTTTTGTCAGCTCAGCAGGGGTGTATGAACTCCCTGCATTGCTGCTGTGGTTTCTTGGGCAGAGGGATGGGAGACCTGGCTGTGGGAAGGGGGAATGTGCTGGCTCTGTTGCTTATGTTGCTCCCTTTGCTGCAGAGTTTTCTATGGGATGACCACTGAGGAGACGATTCTGCGAGAGATCAGTCTCTTCTGGGAGCTTTTGGGCTCCACAGACACTGTGCTCCGAGAAACCTACATCGTGGCTGCTTATGAAAATCCCAGTATCCCTCAGCGCCGCAATGAGATCTGGTTCATCTGCCGAGCGGAGTGAGTCCCCTCTGTGACCGCAAACCATCCTGTGACAGGACCTGGTGTAGATGGCAGTTCTGACCCAAAGGAGACGAATGCACATCCTGACCCACCATTCACCCACAAAATGACAGACTGGGGTGGGTTTGCACTCTGCCCTGTGAGGGCCCAGCCAGGGGAGAACCTGCCTGGTCTGCACTTTGCCTGCCCCTGCAGGGGCCAACTGAGGCTGGAGCTGGCACCGGGGAGAGCCTCTGCCGCAGACTCCTGGTGGGAAGCACGTGGTGGGGGCTCATGTAAGGCAGTAACCGTATGGGCTTGGGCAGTATGCTAGCCCAGCCTGGACTTCTTTTAGCTCTGAGCTGGGATTGCAGACCTGTGCCAGGCATGCTAGTGGGGCTTGTGGTTGGCAGAGTCACAAGCTGATGGTGTCTGGAAGGCAAATGACTGTGTACGAGGTGTGGGACTCTGTCTGGGCTCTGGGCTGCTTCCTGTGAGAATGACTGCCTGTCCTGAACAGAGCCACTGAAATGCTGCTGCAGGGACAGTGAGGTTCAAAAGGGGAAAGGACTTGCTACAAGTGAGATGTGGATCCCGAATGTTCCCTGTTGGGGTGGCTCTCTTTGGACTGTTGAGTGCCTCCCTGGATGTCACTCATTGTCCCTTAGCCAGGACTGGGGCGCTGGCAGCCTTTGTCTATCAGTTGTGGGTGCTGTTTTGTGGACTTGCTGCAAGCTGAGAGGGACAGGTCCTGACAGCAGCAGCAGTGGCCCCACTGTGTGTTGTGCTGTGCATTGATCAGTGAGTTTCACATCCATGAATACTGTCATGCTTTCCTGGGGGGAAGCTGGTAGTGCCAACAGTAAATAAACCCAGCTCAAACCACTGCAGCTGTAGATCACTGATGGTGGGGCTGGGGGGTGCCCAGGCTGGTTTGCAAAGAGCCTTGCTCTCCTTCCTCAAGCTGCTCCAGGCTGCAAAGCTGTGGCTAATTAGAGGGGCTCTAATGTTTGCCCAGGTTATGGCCTCGTGTTCAGCCAGGCACAGCCACTGCTTTGCTGCACAGGCTGCTTACAGTGCTGCTACAAACAACTGTGGCCACAGTCGCCTGCAGGTAAGGTGGTTTTCTGTCGGGTGGGGTCTGCTCTAGCCTCGTTTTTCCCCTGTGTAAAAAGTTGGCTCCTTTGTACTGCACAGGGGCACCTGATCTTGGGGGCTGAGAATTCGAATGCTCAACATTGTGCTGGTTCGCTGCAGGAACTGGTGTACTTTTGCAGGGATGTGCTTAACTGGTTAGGTGCGGAGGGACTTCTGGCTGCTTCTGACCCAGTTCCCAAGGAGTTTCCTCCTGCTGTAACCAGAGGCACGCTGTGTGCCTTGCCTCCTCCTGCTGCTGCTCAAACTCTGGCTCTGGCTCTTTGGCCCTACAATGTGGCTGAAGGCGGGGAAGGCCAGGGCCAACTTTGTGGTTTCATTGCCCTAGCAGCGCAGGTGGCTTCTGCCACTCCGTTCTCCACTCAGATGTTGTTCACTGCCCTGTCCAGGCTGGCTTGTTCTCTGGCAACGAGGGAGCCTGGCTGATCAGCCTGTGGCTCTGGGGAAAGCAGGGCCAAGCGTATTACACCCTCCTCTTCATGGGAGCAAGGTAGCTTCAGGCAGAGTCTGGGTAAGCACAGCAAGAGCAGACAGTGGTTTTCTGGGTATCTTGTGGTGTAGTTCTTGTCCCTCGGGCACTAAAGGCAGGTAGGGCTGGGGAGGTGCTGTGACAGTCTGCAGCTCTGAGGGCTGATGTGGCCAGTGCTCCTCAGATAAGAGTAGCGATACCTGGATCAGCAGTGCTGTGCTCACTTCCCTCCTGGGGAAGGAGAAGCAATTCCCTTATGTGGGGCTAGGATCCGGTGGATCAGTGTCAGAGCAAAGTCAGCCAGCGTGTGTGGGACAGAGACCCCCTTTTACTACACATTAGCTGCTTTGCTTGCTTGCCCTGAGCTTGCAGGTGGAAGCAAAACTTGCTTTCTAGAGCTTGCCGAGTAGGCTACCACTTCCTCTGAGGCTGCTTGGTCCCCAACCACAACCAGAACAGCTTTTGGTGACAGGAAGTGGTGGCTTCCCTATGAGAAAGGACTGGTTTGCGGCTAACTGCGGAGCCGCACAGCCACGTGCCCTGCTGGGGCAGCTCTGTGGTCCCCCAGGCCCTGCTCGAGGTGGTAATGGTGGGGGGCTTCTGGTGCAGCTCCAGGCTGGCACAGCCATGCAGGGCAGCAGATGTACTCTGATCCTGTGCCACAGGCTTTGCTGAGTCAAGGCTTCATCATCCTCTGTGATGGATCCAGCAGTGCTCTTGGGGATGCTGCGGGGTGCCTGATGGTGAGTCTTCCAATGCAGTACCAAAAGCAGCCAGCATTTTGGGGGTTCAACAAACCGGCTGGAAAACTAGTGTTCAGAGCTGCAGCTGCCAGAGCCGGTAGCACAGGGCTGCCGCAGGCTCCCCAGGAGGCGTTCGGTCCGGCAGGGAGGCGTCCAGCCTGTGCCGTGCAGGTGGTCAGGTCACCTTGCACTGCTGTGCCCCGGCTTTGGGGGATGCGGAGGGGCGGCAATGTGTTGTGCAGCGGGGGCTGCGTGGCCAGCCCCTCTGCCTGGAGCAGGGTGCAGCGCTCCCGGCTCCCGCATGCCCCTGTGCTTTCACAAGGCCTCTCAGCAGCGGTACAGACGGGGCGCTTCTACCGCATCGGTTTAACAAGCCCGTCTGTGAGAAGCCCTTCGGTGGGAGGGGAGCTCTGTCTGCTCCTCGCTGCTCCGGACACCCCGCGTGGGGCTTGCTGCGGGCAGCAGCACC